ATCGCACGCTGAGATGTGCGCCTCCAGATCTAACGGCCCCAAAATTTGACTGAGCACGAAATCAAAATCAGTCTATTGAAATTTAGCAAAAATGGTCAAATAAACCATACAGTTCAGTAACTGCAAACTGAGCTTAAATACTTATAAAGAACTGGTTGGACAGTTAAAAATGGTTTCCCCTTGGAAAGCTACCAAAATTGCCAGTCACCGCTGCTGACGAACACCATCACCTGAAACATTCGCCACAACAGGTTGCTGCCTTATCCGGGACAGCAGGACAGAGACCTCCTGTGTCGCGAGATCCATCCGTTCCTCCGATTTGCCTGCTTCGCTAACCAGAACTGAGACCATGGACTGGAGTGCTTTCACCCTTTCATATGATCTGCCATGATCAGGAGCGCCAATCAATGACTTGGAAGGTTGTGGCTGGGTTCTATGCCATCGGACAGGAAGGTAATGGTCCGGGATCTGAGAGTAGTTTAGCGTTGTGAGCACACGGAGGGCATGCCGGCAGAGGATCCCTGATGACTCAAACATTTGGCAGCTGCAAGAAAGTAGCTCCTCCTTTTGGTTCCATGTGACATTGCAACCGCCATCTGTCTTGGTATGGTGCCGGACAAGAAAAGCATTCCCTTCCAAGTGGAAGTATGCATAATGGGCTGCCTCTACAAGCTCATCCTGTAGCTTATAGAATGCATATGGGGTGAAAACAGCTGCAGCATGTCCTTCCACTGGAGCTGCCGTCTTCAGAATTGTATTTTCCGAGTTTTGTTGCACTATTTGTTGTTCCCCAGCTTGATCTTTGTAGTCAACAACTACCGCAACCTATGTAAAAAAATGAACGCTAAATTATATTACTCTTTTACTTTGCACAAAGTTGGCTTGCAGCAAACTATAATGAACTCAACAGGAGCAGTAGTGACTAGTGAAAGGGTATCACGATTTTTCTTACAAGGGGTGAAAAAAAACTTGGCATTTGGTAAACATGAGATGAAATGGTCACCTGCTCAATGAAACAGGATAGGCATGTTTGGGCGCTCAACAACCGCTGAATAAAATCCTTTATTTTTGAAATTCCCGGCAAAGCAGCCAGCCCTGCCAAAAAATGTCCTCTCAAATATGGCGATGCCCAAAGCTTCCGTGATGCAAATAAGCTAGCAATGTGCCTATTTCCATGTAATCCATAGCAGCTCACCATGTCACTCCATCCAAGATCAAAGTCCATTGTGCTTTCCATGTTGTGCAGCCTATAAAACTCATTTTCCCAGTCATTATAGTGTCTCCCGAGAACTGCATTGAACCAAGATAGAAACCTGGATGCAATAAGCCCGATGGAGAGGGCATGCTTTGTGTTTGGTAGCTCCTTTTGAACTGCTTCTTTGAGATACATATTTTGATCAGTCAATATTGTCTGTGGAGCTTTTCTGTTCATGAAGTTGAGAAATACCTGTCAACAACAAAGACTTCCTAATTAAGAGAACGGTTGTAAAGAGTACTGTGAGTTTTTCACCCTCAATGGTTACCTGTAATGCCCATGTGAAGGATTGCAGATTTCCCTCCCTCAGAAGCACGCAACTGAAGAAGCAAGGCATCCCATGATTGTTCATTCCAATCCAAATACCCAGTGTCATGTCAATAGAAGTTAGCCGATGAGTGGTGTCAAACACAACAGCATCACCAAATACCTCGTAAGACTGGATCGATGATGCGTACGACCAGGCGATGTTCTCAACGCAGTTGTTGGCGTCTTTGGTGAAGTCGTACTTGAAATTGGGATCCTTCTCCTTAACATTTCTGCACATCTGAAGCAGGTCGACACTCTCCTCCTCCTGCTCGAACCTCCTGAAGGACTGTATGAGATTTCTCACATCCTTCTCAGTAAATGGGAGGCTCCCCGGCTGGACGCACTTCTCCAGCTCCATTATCCTCATCATCTGCTGCACAGTGATCCCAGATTTTGCAAACACCAAGATCCTGTCTCTGTCCGACTCCGAGATGACACGGTACGCCGGCAGAAAGCGCACTTCATCCTGCCGGAGGAGCTCATGGTTGTGGTAGTTAGAGAACCCCGTGACTCGCCACTCCAGACCGCCGGCTCCAGCATCCCTACCAATGCGTAGGTACGCCTGGCACCCGCAGCGGGAGGACTTCCTGTTCCTCTGCTGCTTGGCGCCGTCGTCGAAGGGTTTCGCTGGCGTGTTGCCGGCGCGGTGGCACACGAAGTACCGCCGGGTCAGACCCTTGCCCACGCCGTCCTTCCCCTCCGTACGGTGCCGCCGGATCGAGAACCCGCACTGCTTTGCAAACCCGCTGTAGAGCTCGTACGCCGCTTCGTGTGTCAGGAACCGCTGCCCTATGTACGGGACGGAGTCGTCCGCTTCTGCCGCCGCCGTCTCCGGCGAGATCCTCGTCTCGTTGGGAGAGTCCCCCTCTCCCTCCTCCCCGCTGCTGGGTCTTTCCATATGGGGGACACACGCTGCTCTAGAGGATCCCCGCCGTAAAACTCCAGAACAGATACGGCCAGCGGAGGCAGATCACGGCGAAATGGGTAGAGAGAGGTGTAATACAAAGGGGGCATAGATTTTTGAGATGACGACGGTGGTCGGTAGTCTTCGCAGGAGAACCCGGCGACGGTGACCGGCGGAGGTTCTCCGGCGACAGGAACTGCGGCGCATACCTACAGGTGGGAATGGATCTATCACAAGGCGAACTGTTTTTTTTTTTTGAGGCGGCAGGCGAACTGTGTGGAGTAACGCCAACTCCACCGCGCGACCCTATCCTGTCCGCCCTCGTTCATTTGGGGTAAAAGGTACAAACGAGACGGCCCAGCGCACGGCCTCAAACGGACAAATGTCCGGATTCCGTCCGTTTTCAACCCATCCCCGACCCAAACTTGCGCTCGGTTTGAGGTGAAACGGACGCGCGCGGACGGCCTCGACGCACGCCCTTGTCCCCCCGTGGCCCGCCTGTTGAGGACACTAGCAGTCCCTCCGCTCCCAACGCTTCACCCTCTCTCCCCGCCCCGCCCGGCCGCCGGCGCCGCCGCTATTCTTCGGCCGCCTCCTCACCGCGCAGCCCCCCCGCCGTCCATACCAAACCACGTCTCGACATGGCCGCCACCACGCCCATGCTTCCGTCGTAGTTTTGGTCGTCGATCGGAGGAGGTTTGGCCGTCGTCGTCCTTGCCGGTGGCAGAGGGGACACGACTGCCGGCGACGTACCACGGCTGCCGAGGCAGATTCCGACGAGAGCTTCAGAGCGGCCAGTAGCCGGCCGGCAACCACCCCTGCTGCGTCGAGGTGATTATCACGGCCTCTTCGCCAGCACGGCCGCAAGGTATTTGACCTTTTGCCAACAAAGGTATGGACAGTGGAGACGAGTTTTTCTTCCATCACTTTCTTTGTTTATCGAACGATTCGTCGTCGGATGATGACGATCTTGTGGTGGCTGCACTGGTCGTTCACGACCATATTCAACGGCAGCTTCCTTGGTACAGGGGGGCAGTCCCTGGTCGTGCTCCCAACCTGAACCACAATAGGGAGAGAGGCCACACCCTGCTCTATGCCGATTACTTTGCCAACACCCCGCTCTTCAAGCCGGATAAATTTCGTCGCCGTTTTCATATGGCAAGGCATGTGTTCAATCGTATTCGAGAGGGAGTGGTTGCTCATGACCCATACTTCGAGTGCAAGATGGATGCCCTTGGCAAGCTTGGATTCTCCTCCTACCAGAAATGCACCGCGGCCATCTGCATGCTTGCATATGGAATTCCAGGCGATCTGGTGGATGAGTATGTGCGATGAGTGAGACAACATGTCTGATGTCAATGTACAAGTTTTGCTAGGCTGTGATCGAGGTCTTTGGCGCAGAGTACTTGAGGCAGCCAACTGCCGCTGATACAGAGAGATTGTTGGCGACCAACGCAGCTAGAGGCTTTCCAGGTATGCTTGGCAACATAGATTGTATGCACTGGGAGTGGAAGAACTGTCCATTTGCTTGGCAGGGCCAGTACAAGGGGCATGTTAACGGGTGCACTGTCATATTAGAAGCAGTGGCATCACAAGATCTTTGGATATGACATTCTTTCTTCGGCATGGCAGGTTCTCACAATGATATCAACGTGTTGCAGCGTTCTCCAATCTTCGCGAGGCTTGCAGAAGGTCACTCCCCACCTGTCAACTTTGAGATCAACGGTCACCATTACAACAAGAGATACTTTCTAGCAGATGATATATATCCTCAGTGGTCAACTTTTGTGAAGACAATCTCGAAACCCCAAGGTGAGAAGAGAAAGAGATTTGCTCAAATGCAAGAGAGTGTTAGAAAGGATGTGGAACTTGCTTTTGGTGTGCTTCAATCCCGGTGAGGTATCGTTCGAAACCCTGCACTGTCATGGGATGAAAGGAAGCTTTGGAAGGTGATGACTGCTTGTGTGATCAAGCACAACATGATCGTCGAGGACGAGCGTGATGAGAGTATCTTTGACCAAGGATTTGATTATCAAGGTGAAAATATTGAGCCCCTACATCAAGACCCGGCCACATTTGAACAGTTTGCCCAATTCCACCGTGAGATGCGTGATTGGCACACTCATGTGAATCTTCAAAATGACTTGGTTGAGCACGTGTGGGATCACATTGACAACCAATAGATGTATTTGTCCATTTAATGTTCAGTCAAGACAATTTTGATTTGGTTGTAAAACTATTTTATTAAAGACAATTTTAATTGGGTTGTAAAACATTTTTAATTTTCAGACAAATATTTGGGTTCGAAACTAGTTTTGATGCAAATTTGGGCATTTTTTGGCCCTAACGGATAGGATGGGGCAAAAGGATGCGGCCGCGCGCTGGGCGCACGGCCACCGCGTCCCAGGACAGACCCGAACACGACCCTAAATCCCTACCCAAAGGAACAAAAACCGGACAAAACGGACGTCCGTTTGGGGTCGCACGATGGAGTTGGCCTAATGTCCTGATGCATCCCGGCCTGAACGAGAGTAGTATTGGGCCGGTCACAATGCGGTTTTTATCATTTCATAAAAATAATCTAGAATGTATTTATATTTTATAAAATTTAAAAATAAGTTTAATAATAAAGTAAAGTTGTACATGAAAGCAAATACTCATGTCCCACAAAAAATGTTCATGCATTTGGAATAATGCTCATCTCTTATTGTTCATGCATTTGGAACAATGCTCATCTCATATTATTCTAATGTTCACTGAGTTAGAATATGCTTTCATATTTTTTTTAAAGTCCATGTATTTGAATTATTTGTTCACGTGTGTTAGAATATATGTTCATGAAGTTTTCAAAAGTGTTTACATATTTCCTACCCAAAGAATTGAAAAAAGTGGAAAAATATGAAACAACAAACACAAAAAGATAAAATAAATACAATAAATAGAAAATGGATAATAAAACAAAAACAAGAAGGTAAAACAAAAGGCAAAATAATCTGATCTAGTTGAGCACAGGTGCCCAGCCTACCCAGGAGGTGGTTCACGGGAGTCGTGATCTTATTTGCCTTAATTCACATTCTTAGCTTATAGTGACATATTGTCGTTGTAACACGCAGCAAAAGAATTAATGGTATGACTCATTTCTTCTGACTATGTGCCTTCGAATAGCTTTTTGACAAATTTTCTCCAAGATTTTCAGTTGGTTTTTGTTTCGTTTTTCCTTAATTTATATAGGTTCTTCATCGTTTTATATGTGAGAATTTTCTCTGTCTTTTCTGTTATTCTTTTATGGTTCTTCATCTTCTCTATTTTTAGTAAATAAATATTTATAGGATATTTTTACAATCTTAACCATTTTTAAAATCCATGAATAATATTTTAAAATACATTAACATTTTTCAAAAACTACGTGTGTTCTTCTCTAGACGTCGAACATTTTTTGGGAGCTTGTACATGTTTTTTTAAGCGAGAATGAGAGTTGTCATTTTTCATATCGAGGAACTTTGTGTCGTTCAGAGGTTCTAAACGAAAGGAAAACATGTTAGAGGGTCCAGATGAGATATGCTTGGTAGATCTGAACAAATTTAAGTTAATCTATCCTCAAGGCCAGCGTGCTGGTGGAGATGCTCCACATGGCCAACGTCTGGATCCACGCCATCGAGTCATGCATAACCTTCTCGGTCGTTCTTTGCAGCGGTGGTAGCGACCTGGGCCAGCGCACGGGAGGAGATGCTCCTCATAGCTGGCGTCTGGATCCATGCCATCAAGACATTCCCGGGCTTCTCAATTGTTCCTCCCATCGGTGGTGGTGACCACGGAGTCACCGAGCGACAGGTGGTGGGGAATAGGGCCAACGTGTGCTATGAAGGTTATTTTTGTTTTGGGCCATATAGAACAAATCATAATCTTCATACTCATGTAACTATGCAATTTGAGAGTTTTTCATCCAAACAAGTCTTGGTATTGAAACTCTGTCCATGGGTCAATTCAGTGAACAACCAAACAAACACATTCATATTCATTCTTGTTTCAGATTCCTTACTGAATTGGTATTCCAACCAATTAAATATGAAGCCCTTCACTGACCCCATCTTAGAAGCTCCAATCACGCACCATTCATAAGATCCTAACTATACTGGATATGCTTTTTTGTGAAATATATCTCAATGTGATTTTTTATCATAAAACCATAGGAATTTATCCTTAATGTCATTGGTCCATTCTTTTTATTTTCCAAGGGTTGAAAACCATCTTCCAACATAGTATCTCTTGTACCAAAACTGATCAACACTTAAAAGAGAATGTTAGGCTTTTTAATATTGTTGTCATTAATTAGGGATAACCCATTATGGGGGCCTAGATAAATTTTCGGAATGATACACCAGACAAACATGGAGAGAGGGAGAGGGGGAGGAAAGAAGTATGAACTCAAACTAACATTCTCGCACAACCTGCAAGGTGTAAAGAAAGAGAGCAAATTTACATTACTTCCTTAGTTCCACAACATATTCTGCATAGTTCTTTTGAAAAGTCAAACTTCATAACATTTTATCAAATTTATAGAAAAAATATTAACATCTATAACAATATCATGAGACATATTTGACATTGTATTTGTTTGAAATTATTGTTGATCTTTTTCTGAATAAACTTGATCATATTTTTTATAAGGTTTGTCTTGAAAAAACTATTATGAAACGGGGGGAGTTGTCATTTTCTATGAATAACTCAAATACACTATATTGGAATGGATGTATGAGAAATTGTTTTTTATTAGGTAATGCTATCATGGCACACTTTATTGCATCAAAAAAAGGTTGCATTGTTTATAATGTCTGAAACAATAAAAGAAGGGGGTCATCGTCCCAAAAAAAGCTATCTTAGACTCAAATGTATACTTAGCTATATTGTGTGTCACTCTATTTGCATTCTGAGGACAATGCACGATGGATACGAGACCAATTCTAAAACCACTATGGAACTTATCCAGCAGGATG